ATATATCCATTACATGAAGCTTTATTGGAGATGCACCGGCGAATACAAAGGCAGAGATTGTTTCGAAAAGAGAACGTTATGGTGAAAAATATTGGAAAAGTACGAAATTTTCCGATAAAACTTTTTATTCCGATGAATTAAAAAAATTAAAAGATAAAAATATCCCAATTCATACATTTTATTTAACTGAATATGCGAAAAATAATTTTGAAGAAATTGCTAAAGAAACACAAGGACGATGTGAATCACTTGATATTCGTTCTAGTGCAGGAATCATAGCATTAACACATTATGTTACTGAAGAAGTTTTTAGAAAAGCAGCTGGAAGTCAAGGAGATGAGGCCGTTACGTCATATAGAGAAAAATATGGAAAAACGAGTTTTACATCTTAGATTTTCAAGTATAGAAAACAGCATTCTTTTTTATTTATTAATTAAAATTATTAAATTGAAATAATTTTATCTTCTTTCCTGCTTCTTCATTTTGATTCAAAAGACAATATGTTTTCTTTTAAATTAATTATGTCAACTGATGCTTTTCTTGCTTACCCATTTTTTTTCATTTTCATTTTTTTGTGTTGTCTTTTTTTTGCAGTATATTTTCTTTTAAATTGATTGTCCCAACTGATGTTTTTTTTGTATACCCATTTTTTGTCATTTTCACTTTGTTGTGTTGTCTTTTTTTCAATGTATTCAAAAACACGAGTTCTTTTAAACTTTGACTTTAATCCTGAAACCAAATATTATTTTAACAATAAATTTATTAGAAATAGAGCATTCGCTTGTAACAACAACGATCCAATTTTTCTCAAAAGAAACTGATAATCAACAATTAGTTAGTAGTACTCCGTTTGATCATCATCATCTTTGAAAAGACAGCTTCTGTAAGGGTGAGTGTGAGTTTATACGAGAGAACCACCACGACGCGTTTCAACTTAATTTTAAAGTCTCGTCAGACGACTTAATACCCTGCATATATGAAAAAAAGCAATGAAACTCTCTTGAGAGTGTGGGTATTAGAAAAATACAAAGCCACGACCAGTTTCGATCCTTTCTAAAGGGATCATCTCCAGGTAGCTTTAGCACACTGCATAGCAACTTCTTAAGCAACTTTAAGACAAGCTGCTTTGTCACGTATTCCGTTTCAGCTATGGATTTTATTAGGATATGCTATCCTGAGAGTTGTTTTTGATCTTAGTTTATGGAATGCAAAGGAGTGCTGGTGTGTCTGAGTTTCGGTGTGGAATGAATAGAATACCCACACCCACACCCACACCCTCAAGATGGCTTGAAACAAATTTCTACAATGAATCATCAAATATGTTCTGTTTTCGAATAACTTATACACAAATACCATTTCCTATGTCAGGGACAGTTTACATATCTATTACAACAGTAGATAAGATTCTTATTGCATCTATTTCAACGAAATATGTTGTCTTAGTTCAATTAGTTTAAAAGATAAAATATTCATTATTGCAGTAACTTATGTGTTTGACAGATGTAAAGATAACATACGCATTTATGAAAAACAATAACCAAATTTCTGTATTATTTATAAACCTTATCATGACTATTATACGTTTATATATTCCACTCATAATCTTCAGAGAACTCTTTGTTTTAGCGTACTGCACAAAACGCCACAAGTTTTAAGTTAAACAAATAATGAATTATATAGTTGACAAAAGATGTTTTATTTTTTTTTGAAAAGTTGCTCTGGCAGATCAGTGTTACCACTAACCCGCACAATTTCATCATCACAATATCTATTTGATCGTAGGATTTTTTTTATTAGAGGAAAAAAAAGATAATCACATTTAATTTTTAAAAGAGAAAATAAATCTTTAATAATGTTTCTTATGTCGGTCTTCAAGTTCTTTTTCATATTTTGTTTTACAATGATAATGAACTATTTTATGATTTGGAAATCTTAGAACAGCTTGTGTTGCTGTTATTGGTTGTGTACAAGTTGTTCTAGCACATTGAGTATCAGAATCAATAAGAAATGATTGATTTTCACTTCCTATACGTTTTGATTGTGTACGAAGTAATTTTATAAAAAGTAAACTTCGTTCAATTTGTGAACTACGTTTCTTCATTGAACATGTTTGTATTGATTGTTGGATGAAATCTTTCATACTATTTAATTTTAATTGTCCTGGTAAAATTTTTAATGCTTCAACAGGATCAAGACGTTCAGATGCATTATTAAGAATACGTAATATTGTTTTTAAACTATTTTCATTTAAATTTCCATCATTACTTTTCTCTAAATAATGTTCAATTAATTGACGATAAAGTTCACGAGCTAATTCAATATCACCATTAGCATAAATAGTTTCACAATAACGTTCAGCATCAGTATAAAATCCATGTTTAACAAATGTTTCAAGGGCTAATTGATGTCGTCCTAATTTACCTAGCACAATAGCATAATATAAACTAAATAAATGTTCATCTGATGGATTCGTTTGTTGTCGTGGAAAATAAGCTTCTAATACTTCAAAATCACATTGACAATTTCGATTAAGTAAAAATAATTTTAATTTTTCCTCATATTCAGTTTTTTGTTTTTTTATTATTGATATTGCAGAATATTTTTCCGTATTAACAGATAACGTTCGAGTTGTACGAACATTATCATCCGTATAAATTTCTTGTTGATTTGCTTTAATCATTGGTTCCAATTTATCAGATAATTGTTTAATACGTTCAGAATATGCATAAACAAGACGATTATGTATATCACGCTTTTTAGAGGCAACTTCTGGTTTTAAACAAATATGTTCCATATATCGTATAGCAAAATCTTGATCAATTCCATTTAAAAATTTATAAACTTCCATAGGTTCAAGTTTAATGGTTCGTGTTTGAGATATATCAGTTGTCGAAGGTGATGTTGGTGCTGATTCACCAATAAATAATGTTAATATTTCATGAAGTATATTTTCATTATCTGGTTCATGTAAAGCTGATTGTATCATTGGTTGAATATATTGAAAAATCAATTGTAATTGATCATTATCAAGTTTTGATAGATAATTTAAAATATTTTCACGTGATGCTAATGCTTCAGTACTTGTAATTAATTTTAATGCTTCTTGATGACGATTTTGTTTTTCATAAAATGAAACTA